TTCCCTGAGCATCATCACAATGTACTAAATGTGGTTTCCCCTCTAGAGTAAGTTGCATAGTGGCTTAATCATGCATGTTATCATCCATAAAATTCCATTACTACTTTCATATATATATGTTTTTTACCCCATGTCTGACCCTCTGCCCTATTCCACTCTCTTATTACACTATTTCTGCTGTCTACAGTTGTCTTCAATTCCTTTTCCCCCAATATTTTGTTGACCACACCATATCATAAGTAATCTAACTACTTTCAATAGCAAGTTCAGCTGGTGGTTTCAAGAAAGGCAGTTTTGAACTGGTAAGGATATTTCCTCGAAATTTGAAGCCTAGAAACCGATTAGTATTTTGTACAAATAGTCTGATGTGAGTTTTTAAACTGCTTGGTCCAGAACTCGAACCATGGTTGACCATGTGGGAGTCCAGTGACATAATCATTAGTCCATCTGCTGGTTCAAAAGATTTATTTTTTATTTATAAGAGAAGGATAAACATGTGCTTCAGAGTGGAGAAACTCCATAGTGTCAACTATTTTCTTATTGCTACTTCCTCCCTACCATGGTGATCCTGACCCTTGACCCTACCTCTTTATACTTCTGCTTATGGTGGTCCTCTTCCATTAGCTCTCCTCAAAAAGAGATCAGCAAGGGACTCGAGTGATCTCATCACTGAGAAAGGAATGAGCAATGGACTCACCAGTATCTATCTAGTTCAAACTTACAGTTAGTTGTTCCCTTCTCCCCAACCAGGTCTAGGGACTATTTTGATATTATTTTCAGAGTTCTTTTTACCATCTAATTTTACTCCTTTACTTTATCCATTTACTCTCCTTATCTTTGATATTGAAAGGTGTGATATGAGAAAGCAGGGACAACTTGAAAAAAAAAACAAAAAAACAAACTATCTTGAAATATCAACCTGCGAAAGGGAGAAGAAAGCTGGGTCAGTAGTAGGGTCAAAGAAAAATGTTTTTTGAAGCTGGGAATGACATGATCTAGTTTGTATACTGGTGGCATGATTTCAGTAGAAAAAGAGGTATTGGTTTATAGAAGAAAGGGAGATATTGAAGGACAAAGATTCGTTCAGAACTAGATAGAATCTAGAAATTAATTCGAATAAGTGTCTCCTATGATCTGAAGGTTTATACAACCTCACTCCCCTCACCCCCAGAATTCACATGTTGAAATAGTCACCAATATGATGCTATTAGGTGTGGTATTTGGGAAACAATTAGATCAGGAGACTGGAGCCTCCATGAATGGGATTAGTGCTCTTATGAAAAGGAGGCTTGAAAGAGATCTCTTGCCCCTTCTACCATTTGAAGGCAAGTAAGAAGGCATTGACTATGAACAGGAGGGTTGGTCCTTGCAAGAAGCAAAATCTGCTATTGCCTCAATTATAAACTTCCCAGCCTCCAGAACTGTGAGAAATGAATTTCTGTTGTTTAAGAGCTACCTTGTCTATGGTATTTTATTAAAATAGCCTGAGTGAACTAAGACATTATTTTTAGATAAGAAGCTAGAAATACTTTCTGGTGTAGTAAGACAGAAAGTAAAGGGTGTAACAAGTATAGATGCAATAATATTTACAGGGTAATAGTGAGAAAATGAAGAATTTTATAGCTAATATCTTTAATTGTGTTGTAAGTAATACCTTTTGATAAAGTATAAGGGTGTTTCAAATAGTTCATGAAAAAATGAAGTTAAAATACAAGTTTATTTTGGTGTAAAAACATTTTGAAATCCATGCATAGATTTTTCATAGTGTTCATTTTTCTTGAACTTTTCAGAGACTCCTTGTAAGTTTCAAGATTGTTTAACTGAGATGAAGGGGGGACGATAAATTGGAAAGAGTTTGAAAATAGTTGAAAATGAATACATTGCTATTTTGCAGATTTTATGAGCGCTCTGTCATTTTAGGTGTACTTTCCCTTACAGTCTTATAGAACATCATGCTCTCTCAGCTTTTCTCCAATCTCATTTTTCATTATTTTTTCTTAGTTTCCTTTGCTGGTTTATCCTCTTCTTCCAAACTACTAGTACCAAACACTCTAGGGATCCATCTTCAGACTTCTTATCTTCAAACTCATTACTTTGCTGTTCTCATTCAGTCAAACTTTTAAAAAACCAGGCATCTGCTGATGACTCTCAAATTTATATCTCTAATCCATAATTCTGTCCCCTAATCCTGACTCTCAACTACATATTCTTCTTTTAAAGTTTCAACAAATGTCTGAAGCTCAATATGTATAAAAATGAAATCTACATTTCCTCACAAAAACGTTCCACATTCTGCCTTCTCATCCTTATTGATACGATTTCAGTTGTTCATTTGCTCAAGACCATGAACTTTGGCATTAAATTTTCTTCTTTTCTTTCACATTCCACATCTTTTCTATTAGACATCCTGGTGCTGTAACTTTGAAATATATGTCGAGTAAATGATTTTATACCTTTTTCACTACCGAGAGACCATGTTTTGCTGGATTATACAATTTGCTTCTTCCCTATACCTCTGCCTCATTATAACCCTTTCTTAATACATCAAATAGAGAGCTTTTTAAAAAAATAATTATTTTATTTAACTTTATTTATTTATTTTTATTTGACCAGAGAGGGACAGAGAGAGAGAGAGAGGAAGTGAGAAAACAAGTCACCACATCCAGGACTCGAACCGTGGTCGGCCATGTGAGAGTCCAGCACCTTTAAACACTATACCACCTGTTGACCCCTAGAGAGAACTTTCTAAAGCATGAGAAAGATTGTCATCTTCCTTTACCTCAAGCTAGTTGTGCCTGTACATTTTCCTTAGGAAATAAACCAAAGTCCTAACAAGGTCCTGGAAGGGTCTGTAGGATATAGCCTCCCAACACTTCCATGGTCTGCTCTCTTCTGAGTCCCTTGCACTTGCTCTAACCCAGCTCTGTTAATGTCCTCACTGTGCTTTTAATGCGCCACACTAGCTCCTGTCTTAGCCCATGCAGCTCTTTTCAAATTAGTTGTATCACATTTCATAGTTTCTAGTTCCCTGTAAAACATGGCAGGCTTAACTCTTATCTCCATAAATATAATTAAGTATGGCTGTTTCTTAGTCTTCTTCTCAGAAAACAATTTTTTTTTTTTGATTCTCTGTGGGTCTTTTCCAGTTGTTTCTTATTTCTTCCTTATTCTCACTCACATTGTCTTGCCTCTTTATGTATTTGGATTTGTGTACTGGATATTTTATTTAAAAGTATTTATAAAAAATTATCTGAGATTTTAGATGATATTACTTTTTTCCAGTAAGAATCTTGTGTTTGATTTGTTTTATCTTGCTTCTGTCAGATCCTGGGAGCTCTATCAAAGAAGGACTACCTTAATTTAATTTATTTAAGGTTTTGAGTTTTAAAAAAAAATTTTACAGAGATATTTTGCTATGGAGTACATGTGCTTACAGGAGAAACAGAGACAGAAAGTAGAAATCGCCCCCCTGGAGGATTGGCCATGCTGAAGTTCCTTCTCCTCCATTCTCCTCTTAGGATCTTGGGCATACATGCACATGTGCCTGGTGTGAGTTTAAAGCCAACGGGTCCAGGACTTGAACTATGATCTACTAAATGGGAGTCCAACAATATAACCATTATGCCATCTGCTGATTCCAAGATTTTGAGATTATTTTTTCAAAACAGTCATTTTCAGATAACTTAAGATCAAGCTGAAGATCATAAAAGATCATCTGGATCACTCTTACTCATGAGTCTCTGACCTTTATCTTCTTAGACTTCTAAGATATTAATAATTTGGATAAGCTTCTCAAACAACTCATTATTTAAAACATCTCCAAGTCAAAACTGGGTATCAAATGCTAGACTTACCTCTTCAGAATCCTATTCTTTCCCAGTAATTCATTATCTTTTCACTCTACTTATGTCCTTAATAAAATATTTTTCAATATTTCATTGTTTTCTTTTAAGAGAGAGATTTTTTGCTATATGGCCCATGCACTCACTGAAGAGACAGAGACAGAAAGTGAGAAATCACCCCCCCCCGGGGGGGGGATGGCCATGCCACAATCCCTTCTCCTCCATTCTCCTCTTGAGATTTTGGATATGCATGCACATGCACCTGGAGTGAGTTTAAGTCACTGGGTCGGGGACTTGAAGCATAATTGACTACTTGGGAGTCCAGCAATGTAAACATTATGTCATCTGCTGGTCTCACACTTAGTTTTTAAATTATCATGTGTGGATGGATTTTTTTTTTTTGAGTTTTCTCACCACCATTCTGAGTGGTGTAAATCCACCTTAGGAACTTTGCACTTGCTATCTCTAGTCTTTTATTTGATATCCACAGAGCAAAGTTTTTGTACTCTTGACTTCTTTAACATCTACATGGCCCAGAAAAATATGAGAAATTTGGCAGGAGCAAAGAAAATTTCCTCTGGAAGAATATATAACCCTAGGCTTGAAAATATTTCTACTTGTGGAATTCACTTTTCTTGACCACTAGGCTACAGGGCCAGCCCACTTATTTATTTTTCTATTGTTGGTTTTCTCTCCTTCTAGAATGTAATCCCTCCGAGGGTAGGACATATTCACCTCTCTGGGACACTGGCAAGTCCCCAGGGTGTAGAACAGCGTCTGACACACAGTAGCTACACAATAAATATTTGTTGACAAGATGAATGGCTCACATAACCATTTCATCTCAGAAAATAGGCCTACAGAAAAAAAAAGAGGCTACCAGAAAGTACATGTGAAGTTGAAATCATTAATTTAAAGTAAAATCAATTAGTGTGATTGAATTTTCTCAGGAAATTATTGTTTCTCTAGTACAAGTATGGGGAAATGAATGGTATGGTCCATCTGAGGTTGGTTGTTTATTGTTTTTCTGAAAAACAACAGTAATAGGGAGTAATGGTTAGAAAGTCTCAATAGAGGAAAAGGTGAATTCTTATTCCAAGATTTGAATATTATTTACTTAATGACTTCAAAACTATAATTATTTCTATTTTCATACAGACTCCTACAACTCTTCCAAGAGCAGCTGGTCGAGAAACCAAATATGTAAGTACATTTATAAATAAATATTCTGCTTTCTAGCTAGGTGCCGATGTATGCTCTGTAAAGAACTCAATTACTCACGTCATTTAACTTGAATTAGTTGAATTTTTTATAAGTGGAAAGGGGTAAGATGGTATGATTGGCCCAGATATGGAAAATTAGTTTATTTCAGAGCTAAGACATCAGGTAAGCTTATCAAATAAATTCCTTCTTAAGTAAGGTCTAGTTTGATTAGTTTTTCTAAGTAAAATAGAACTGCGACACCTGCTTTCTGTCTTCCTAATTATCAAAGCTTAGACGACATGTTTATTTTTGTAATGGTTTATTGTGCTTATAAAATAATCAACTCATATACTTGAAACATTAAGACTTGTCTATTTTTCCAATATATACCAAATGCTTGTGCTATGTGGCAGAAATGGGAATATTTGAAGATACAAGAGTAGAGAGAACAACTGTAGGTACCAGAGACCGCATGAGGGCTTGGGGCTGGGATAGAAGGGATGGGCTCAGGAAAAAGTGTTTAACAACACAGGATTCACATATGTGGACAAATGGGTTGTGGAACAGCATATCCCAACAGAGTGAAAAAATACAATGCCAGTTATAAATAAACTATATAAAATTTCAAAAAAAAACCCCAACTAGTAGAGCAAAACCTGAAGGTACACATTATAATGCTGTGTTCTTTGTTGAAAATGGTGAAGGTGGTAATATCCTTGATTTGATTGTTATACACTACACTCAAGTTTTGAAAATCCATATTAGACCCCACAAAGACATAAAAAAATTAAATGTACATAAGAAATTATAAAGAAAAAGGGGGGGGCAGCAGGTGACAAGATGGTTGAAGCGCTGGACTCCCACATGGCTGACCATGGTTTCATCTTGGACCTTGTGGCTTGCTTTCTCACTTTAACTCTCTTTTTCTCTCTGGTGAGCACATGTGCTCTCTAGCAAATTTAAAAATAATAAATAATTCTAAAAAAATTTTAGAAAAGATATTATAAAAAGATTTATCTATTTTCAATAGGATTGTCAGTTTATCAACTTTGACTCATTTTTTTTTTTACTTGTCAATTATTACCAAATAAACATATTTCCACTTATGAGCAAAACCAGATTAATAAAGGATGTGTAACTATGGACTCACTTAATTCAGGTAACTGTGGGGAGTTGGCTCTTACTAGACATCCTTACCCCATCAGCATTCTTCACACCTCATAATTGCATTTTCCATCATGTGGTTAAGTTCTACTTTTTAAAAATAATTATTTAATTTTAATTTTTATTATTGTGGGTGGGAGGGAAAGCAAGCCAGCAGATCTGGGACTTGAACAGTGGTTGACCATGTGGAAGTCCAACACCTTAACCAACATGCCCTCTGCCATCCCCCCAGTTAAGTGCTACTTCTGACCACACATGTTTTAATAGAAACAAGAGTGTTAGGCCAGCAGGTGGTGTAGTGAGTGGGGCACTGGGCTGTCACATGACCAACTGTGGTCTGAGTCCTAGATCTGGAAGCTTGCTTTCTCACATTTTTCTCTTTCTCTGTTGAGCACGCATGCCCTATAGCAAAATTAAAAACTAATAATAAACAAATTAAATTAAAAATAAATAGTTTTTAAAAAAAACAAGAAACAGGATTACTGCCTAAGCAAATATTTAGTTTTCAGTTTAAAGCAAAGCAGTCAAGTACTCCTTTTAAATTACACATTACATTTTCTGTTATGAAGTTTTTGTTATAATCATCATTATAAATAAATAGTTATTAAATGTGTACTTTGTGCATGTCATCATTACAATTCTGACTTTATTTGATTCTCCCTAAGGCAAATAAGAAATAAACTGGGTGAAATGACTAAATTTTATCACATCCAGGAATCTACATTTAGAGGATATGAGTAGGAACATTGCTTAGAGCATTTCCTACAGCTTTCATTATTTTTCTGTTGGAAACTGTTTGGAGTAACACTTAAAATGAGTGGAGGCATTTAGTAGGCTGGACCTAAGTTTGAGTCTAAGTAACAGTATCATTTCTAGATAATCTTCTGATCTTGGGTAAATATCTTGTAATTTTACCTTTTCGTTCCTTTGTATTTGTTGCCTGTTAAATGGAGATACTAATAACCTTATTTGGTTGGTGTAAGATTTTTATTAGTTCATGTATAAAAAGCTCTTAACGTAGTCCTGACACAGAGGGATTGCTTAGTGAATAAGGGTTCTTCCCCTTTTTTCTTTTCTCTCCCCTTTTGCCTTTATCAACTTCCCCTCTCCTTACCTGTCTTTGGAAGACTGGAGGCACTATGATTTGATTGGCTACCTCGATTCTCTGTGGGAATGGAAAATAAATTTCCTAAATATAAATCTGTATTTTTTTGTGACTAATATGTTCAGTAAGTGATAGACCCAAGAAAAAGGAGCTAGAATTTTTGCTCTCTCACCTTCCTTGCTCATCTACTCCTACTTTTCAGCAAAGTACCTCTAATTAGACTAATAATTTGGTGAGGTCCAGAGGACTGATGCCTCTACCCTCTTCTCCCTGAGGATAATTAATTTGGTAGCAGTGGGAACAATTCTGGAGTATTATTTCAATCTTCATGTACACAGGTTATTTAAAGTTATTTTTCCTTTTCATTCTATTATCAGGCTTTAAAGTAGGCCAACTGTCACACTTTTAACTTTGTGAGAGCATTTGAGTCATTCAAAGTTAACACTGAATCATCATACAGTATAGACTAGAACAAATATAAACTCTGATTCAGATAAGATTCTTGGTCTTGATTAATTATTTTTAAAGAAGAATCTTTGCTTTTATATTATTATTATTATTATTATTATTTTACTTTGCCATAGAGTGTCTGGGCTCCATGGAAAGCGAGAGAGAGAGGGAGACAGGGAGACAGGGAGACAGGGAGAGAGGGAGAGAGGAAGAAAGGGAGAGAGGGAAAAGGGGGAGAGGGAGAGGGAGGGAGGGAGGGTGGGGAAGGGAGGGAGGGAAGGGGGAAGGAAGTCTTAAACTTATGTGAAACTTCTGTTTTTAATGCAGTATGTTTTGATTTTTAAAATAAATTATATCATGATATTTTAAAAATTCTAAATTCATTATTGGCTGAGCAGTGGATGCCTCACCCTAAGTTTAATGTGAATAGTTTTCACTTAATTAATTTCCCACCAGTTCTCTCCCTTCTTCTCCCATGGAAACTCCAAAGCAACTCTAAAAAGTGTATAGACTTTAACACTTCAGTATTTCACCAGCTTTCAGTACTTGAAGAAGAAGGCATCTTCAGAGTATATACCTGCTGGGACTCAGTGTGTCATTGACTTTGTATAGATTCTCAGATCATATTCAAAATCAGAGATCATGCAGTTTACCAACTCCTGTGTCACAGAGGTGGTTGAACAAACGAAAGAATTAATTAGCATCACAAAGGAAAGTTTTATTAACATTGAGAACATCTTCCAAAGATGGGCACTGACAATCCAAGAATTAAATTAGTGTCACAAAGAAAAATTATATTAACATTGAGAACATCTTCCAAAGATTGGCAGTGACCACCCAAAACTCCTATTTTGGGGGGTTATGTCTTTATACTAAAAAATATATAGGGTTGTGTCTAAAACTTTAGTGTAGTGGGGCCAACAGGTGACATGGTAGTTAATGGCACTGGACTCTCACATGGCCAATGGCAGTTCTAGTCCATGGCCAATGGCAGCTTGCTTTCTCACTTTCCCTCTCTCTCACTCTGTCTCTCTCTCTGGTCATATTAAAATAAGTAAATAAATAGATAAACTTAAGTAAAATAATTCTTTTAAAAAATGATATATAATCCATAGGTCATGACTAGGAGAAAAACTAGTCACTATTTTCTAGCTCTATTATTCAATTTTCTATGTTTTTTTTTTTAAGTGGATTTGACAAATACTTACCAAGTATCTGCCATGCACCAGTCAATGAGGCATCACTGAGGAAAAAGGGGGTCAATATTATGACTCAGTGATAAGATTTCCATTTAAAAAAATATTTGCTATAGGGTATGTGTATTTGCTAGAGAAAGAGAGAGAGAGAGAGAGAGAGAGAGAGAGAGAGAGAATGAGCGAGCTTCCCTCAGGGAGATGTCCACATTGCAATTCTTTCTCTTCCATTCTCCCTTTAGGACTCCGGGTACATGCACACACACAGCAGGCTTATCTCTCAAGCCACCAGGTCCAGGACATGAAATGCTCAGTCAGCCATATGAGAGCCAGCTCCCTTAACCACCATGCCACAGCTGGTCTGGCAAGATCCCCCTTCCTGAAGCATGTATTTCAATGGAAAAGACAGTAAAAGTTAAAATAATAAATGAGTAATTTATTTCCTGTAGAAAAAGAGGAGTTGGTTAGAGAGCTGAATGATGTTAAAAGAAATTTAGAAAGGTGAGAGTTTTCAATGAATGAATGGACTGATCCTAATGGTTTAATTAAATAATGAAAAATTGTATGACTAATTCCATTTTATGGGTCTTTGGCGTTAAGTTGCCTTCTCTCAAAAAAATTAAAAAGAAGAAGAAAATCAATGCAAAAGGATGATGTTTCTTTGATTTTTTATTGCATGCATTATGACATTTCACATAGTCTGATTTTTTTTTTTTTTTAGAATGAGCCATGTGGTGTAAAGGCACTAAAGTAAAGGTTTTATGCAGTTCCTGGTGTGCTTGAATTGAAAGCTAGTTTAAAGAAATTTAATTGAGATTCTCTTAAGTGTAATAGAGCTGAAACTAGGTTGGCTTAGTAATATGTTGAATGGTAGAAAGCCTTAGGGCACTTGCATGCTCGATTAGATTAATTTATCAGACACATTTCACTTGCTTCCTTTTAAAAAGATACTAAATTGAGCAGCAGTAAGGAATCTTTTTAGCTCTTATCTTGCGAATAAAGATGGACTATCACATATAAGTCATAAATCAACCCTATAAGGTGGACATTATTATTACAAAACCTCCATTTTACAGAAGGGGAACACA